TATTATTAAAAATATTATTTAATTTTAATAAATTAATTATTTAATATATACATAACGATATAAATAGATATATATATAACAATATAAATTGTATTCTTTTCAAAAAATTGAAAGAAACATATTTAATAGAAAATTATGTTTTGATATAAATTTATTAAAAATATGAAAACTACTATTGTATATAAATGTTAATCTAAAAAATTCCAAAAATTTCTTAAAAACATACAGGGTGGAATATTTTAAATATTTTAAATGCTAAACTGTGCAAATATTCTGAAATTTTGCGAGAAAGATAGAATTATGATACAGAAATAATAAATTTTTAAATTATGTCACTTTTTCTATGTAATAATGCTTTTTCTTTTCTTTACATATATAATATAAAATATTCTATCAAGCACAAAAATTTGTATATTGTAAATTGTATTATAATATAATGTATTTACTTTTTTTAAAAAAAAGTATGATATATATTGGAAAATTCATATTCCTTTTAAAGCAATATATATTTTCATTATTTCATACATTTTCTTTATTTTTGTCGATGGATTTATTTTATTATTTTATAGAAATATAAAAATAATGTAGTCAAAAAATAAATATTTTACATGATATTTTATATTAAATATCAAAATATATCCGAATAAAATAACCTTTAAACTAACAACTCTCTGAATAATTTTTTAATAGTTTAATAGTAATTAGTTTTTGTAGAAGATTAAAAATTATATCAAAAAACATAAGATTTTGTTTAAAAAAAGAAGCATTAGTCTTTCTTTGTTCTCTTACAAATTTGGTAGCGGCATTCTATGTATTATATTAAAAATCTCAATTATTTCTAAAAGATTCAGAAAGAATTTTTTTGTTATTTTTAATAGATTGTAAGAAAATAATACTCATAATACTTGTATGTGGCTCGTGTATCTAAAACAAATAATTTATTGAATTGCAATTTAAAACAATAATTTAAAGATATTTTTTTTGATAAACTCTTTTATAAGAAGAAAAAATTTGAAAGGGTGACAGAAAAAAATTTTAACTTTGAAAAAAATTATTTCTATATCACAATTTCATACTTTGCAAAATGCTTAGATACTTATGCATATAGATGTTTGATATAATTAAAATATTCTACACTTAATGTATTTTTAATTAATTGTTTTATTTTTAAGACTGCTGTTTATAAAGTATATTTTTTTTATATAGAATGTTTCTGATAGGTTTATATCGAAAGATAAATTTACGAAAATGTAAAATTTTTTAAAGAGGGATACGACCTGCCTCGTAAAGAAATAAACGTAATCAATATATTAGATATCAGTTTTATTCATCGCGTAATATCTGCATGATGAAACTAGATCATTTTCGATAGAAATTCTACTAAATTTCGCTCGAAGGTATAATGCGAAGGTATAATGCGCAATAAAGCACACACTGTTGTTGTTGCAAGTTTATGCATGCAATTATGTCTAGCATATATGCTGCAATTGTAAGCTTGTGTGACATGATCTTACACTGCAAGCAGTTTGTTAACTGCGAAACATAAAACGTGCGTAAACGGAAAATATCTTGTAATGGAATACACGTTTTATATGTGCACTCGTCGTAAAGGAACCTCGCAAAGTCAATATCAAAATCAATACAACGGCTATTCAAAAACGTACACATCGTTACAACATTTCACAAAGAGACGTTGTTGTACAATAAATCCGTGCGAAATCCGTTGTGGGAGGCAACTGACGTGTATAATACTCCCTTGATGTGCAGAATCTTTCTCGAATATCCATTATTTTCTTGATTTTGAGTTTCCACAAAATGAGAAGTATATTTGGGGGGGGGGCTTCTTGAAAACTGTACTCTCAGCACGGTAATATATACAGCAGATCTTCGACTGATAGCGCATGCATTGCTCTTAAAAATACTTTCTCATTTAACACAAAAACAAGAAAAATCCAGAGTTCACGTAATTGGCTCTGCTCGGAGAAATTGAATTACCGTGGAATGAGTATCGCTTCGCGCGACCAACAATCGGCTCTCTTCGGAAAGCTCCTGTAATCTGCTGCCGCGTTTCTATCTCTCCTGATTGTTTTGCCACTTTTTTCCGCGAATATGTGTGGCAACGACAATTTGTTCAATCCATTGCAAGTGTCTGAGCAGAATCTGTAATTGAGTCACGCGCAATACGAGTCGTTAATATTACACTGAAATTGAATTAAATATAAAAAGATCCGGACACGTAGTTTATAATAAAACTCTTTCGTCCTCGGAGACGCCGATTGCGTGATCGCGTGCCCGTCGTGTGGGACAAGACTTACACCATTTAATCGCGGGATCTCGATGCTCGGTATGTAGGTCGTCTCTTCGTGTTCCGCGGAGGAGCAGAGACGCGTTCTTCTCCTGGAGGATCGCGGGCTGCAACGGCCGCACAGACCCGCCGCCGCGGAATTACGCGATTTTGCGGCAGGTCTTTGCCGGGAGCCGCAGCGGATGGCGAATCGCAATTCCGAGGCCATCTCGGCGCAGAGAGACTGTTGAACGGTTAAATGATGATCGATGCGCAGGAGGTGCATGTGCATGTTTACCGTCCAAGGGGTAATCGTTGACGATGCAGACAGTGGACGCCGGTACGACAGGTACAACATACACCAAGAGACAATACACAAAACGATCATACGAGACCCGAACGCATGCAAGGCTGATTTCTCCATCGCGTAAGGCCGTTTGCTCATCAAAACATTGTATGTATTTTCAAACAAATGTGGCTTACCGTATCCAATCTAAATACATTTAACTTATATAAATTAAATACATGTTAAAATTGAACGTCGCTCAAAATGAGAAGAACAAATTTAAATTCGAGAGGATTAAGAGAGTTTAAAATTATTTGAGCAGCGAGGAAAGAAATTATGTAATCATCTTCATATTTTATCGCGCTATTATACATCTTTTCTCTTGTCCTAAAAAAAAAAAAAATTGAATTTTACTGTATTTTACGCATTTTGTTTTCTATTATTGTTTGGTACAAAGAGATATAAAAAATAATGATACAATGCGCCAAGGATAAAAGAAATAATAACTCGGGAATAGGCATCACGAAAGTCCGAAATTACAGAATTTTGAATCAAGATTCAAACGACCTCGTTCATCCAAGAGAAAGTACAACTCATGCAGCACGTTCACATAAAATCCTATACTGTTCATCGACGTCTCATTTGGCTTACCCTGTCCGATTGAGCATTTTTCTTGGAGTTCCAGCAGAATTCGAGGATCGCCACCAGAATCGCGAGCGCTAGGCCGCAGAGCAGTACAACAAAGACACCGCCTGAAATGACAAAACCGAAAGCTCGTTATTTTAATGTTGGCTCCTTCGTCCTCTTTAATTTCACTGCGAGCGAGACGCTGTTGGCAGCCGTAAAGTACGACGGGGCGTGTTTGTACCCCATCTCGGATCCTCTTCGTGGATCCTCTCTCACCCCTCGCCACCCTGTGTGGTGCTAGTTTGTCCAGGAGAGCAAAGAAAAGAGCGAAAGAAGTATGACGAAAGAAAAAAGCAGAGGCGGCCGCGGAAAATCGTGCGCGCAATATCTAAGCGAAGCATGCATTCTCAGATCGATCGCGTTATACTTTTTGGTCTATTTCATGCGGAAACTTCGCGATGGAGTAACGACCGCGAATAGGGCGTGCGTGGAAAACGTATATACTGATAAATAGCGGGGTGCTTGTATTTATTGCGATGCGAGACTCGCGCGAAAACAGTGAACTCGGGAGGGATATTTACGCTCGGTGCGAAGTTTAGCTTACTCCCGATAAAAACGGAAGGATAGGAAGTATGCGGAAGTTCAAGAGAGCGTTGCATTCGAAATTAACGACTGTTTCTATAAAGATTTGCAAGATTATTCGTAAAACCGGAACTTTCTGACGCGAGCAATGAACTGACTGATATATATGCTTTTTTATTCTTCTCTCTTTATTTTTCCAAATGTCGTATACATTTGATATTTCCTATAGGATACCTCAATTAGAATAATGATTGATAAAATTTCAAAGGTTAAAGAAAATATCCAATATTTATTTTCTGTTTCACTTCGAAGTTATTGTAATGAATACAATGTAACATAGAATTAACTATAAAATTTGAATAAATTGCTTTGATAAATGCTTGAACCTCTCGCCAATATTTTTCTTTACTGATGATTAGAGGTGAATTTCTACTTTATTGGTCGAAAATACGGTGTCAACTAAGTTTGTTTTCACGCAGTCAGCAAATTTGTTTTTCGTAAATTTTTCAATTCCTTTCATATAGACTTCATGATGAGAAATTAAATCATCTTGATCATTAATCGCATTTTATGCAGTTATTGTTTATAATACTTTTACTTAAATTTCTAAAATATATCCCAATAAATATAATGAAATTATATTACTCTGAATTAATTATATACACAGATATTTAATTTATATTAAACATGAATTAAACGGCGGGGAGAGAAAAATTTGTGAGGTACATTCACTCGTATTGGCAAATATTTTTTATCCAAGAAACTTTCAGCTATATATTTCAAGTCGAGAGAAAGAATGGGGAACAAAGTATGGGACGGAGGCGCTTTTGAATAGGCTAAAAAGTGTCCACTTATCATTGACGGCAAGACAACTGAGCCAGGATCTCGGGAGGATGCAAGGATTTGCATAACTACACCGCTGTGATTTATGATGACAGTCCGGACGTCTCGCCGGAAGGACGAAAGTTTCTCGCACGGGCGCCTGGATATCACTGGGCTTCGCGCCTATTTTGCGAAACGATATCAAGAACTGAAACCGGAGAGAGGTCGTGCGACATTGTACAGGCCGATCCAAGTTTCACGGTGGGAAGTTCTGTTCGCCAAGTTACCGGATATATGCTTAAGTTTTCCGTAGGACTTTCGCCAAAACACTTGGCACGAACGGAGAATTATCCGGAGCTCATCGTTCTCAAAGAGACTCTCTCGCTAATTCGGAAATTCGCGGAGTTAGCGGTGCTTTAAGATGAATAAGCAGAGAGAGAGAATGCAAGGTCGCGCTAAGTGAAGAAAGAGGAAGAGAGAAGAGGTTCGAGAGAATTTCCGATATTATTATCTTAATACTACTACTAGGATATCCTTAATTCTGCTTTAATAATTAATGAATATGATAAATACAAGAATATATTATATAAAAGCATCAACAATGTTATGTTATGAAATATTTTAAAATAGATTAATTTTGATCATATTTTATAATAATTATTTGATCTTTTCTTAACTTTTTCTACACTTTAAACTATTACAAAGAATTCATAGTTTAATTTGTATTTCTACGTTTCTTTGTTTTTTTTTTATTCTAGTTTTAGAAGACCATATTAAATTAATGTACGTTAATTAATTTGGCAATGTACATTAATTTAATTTGGTTAATGGTAGATATTATTTTTATATTCAGAATTTCTTTTTTTTATTTCTTTTTTTGTTTTTATTTATTACTATAAATTAACTTAATTAAAAAATGAACAAATAATATTTATTTAGCTAAATAATTAAAAAATAATATCGGAATTATAATTAAAATACTTTTAATCTAATCTAAAATAATCATGACGCTTCACAAAGTTAGAATTCATGAAAAGATATCATTAACGACATTTTTAAGACTCCCGGTAAAGTGAAGAAGCCAATCTATTTCACATTTTTACTTCAATTTAAGACTATTGGAAGAGCTTTTTTTCTCTCGAGATTGCTTATTCTTATGAAATAGCGCGATAAAGGTCGACAACGATTGCTTTTTTCCACAGCAAATAATCAAGACATTGGAAAGGACGGAAATTAGCAATTCAACTGTAATTTCGCGAGATTTTTGCGTCTCGCCGTAGGGACAGTTCGTTCTTCTTTCTGTCTTGTCAAGTACATTTACACCATCGGCAAAATGGGTACTTATCCAAGTTACAGGATAGGCGGTGAAGAAATGGCGGGGAGAGAAGGAAGGTAAAGTAGGTAGATAGCCTGAGAGTTTTTGCAAATGAAGGGAAAAAAAAAGAAAATGCGGGGAGAGAAAGAAGGAACTTGTTGTGACTTCTATAAAAATCCGAAGCGTTTTCGAACAGTCCTAAGAAAAATTTGTCCGCAAACTTTGCGTGAGATGTCGCGCTTGGAAACCTTCTCTTTTCTTTGGTTCTTGACTCTGTTCACTTCGCGTTCGACCGAATCTTGCTATTCTTTCGCACGGCAACAATTTAATTTTTCTGGCACTGATTGAAATGGCTTTAATATTTACAACGATTGTTTTGAATCCATGAAAATTTTGGTATTTATTTATTTTGACATTCGACAAAGCTTTTAACTCTTTTTATACATACAATCATTAAATTTATAGACACTATAAAAATGAACATAAATAATTGATTTTTCACGATATTTAAAAAAATAGAATGCACGATTTGATTTATTTCTTATTACTTCATTCTTGTTCATAAAAAATTGAATTTACGTAATTTTTCATATAGGTTTGCATATTATGATTTGCACCATTGTAAAACGGAATATCTATCTGTAACCTTTTTAGCCTTTTTTGTTGCATATGCGATTCATAAAACGAACAGAATGTCTCATAGTTGAAATGAGTGAAACTTAAAACAGATATGCCGGATACATGAAAGTTATGACTACTGAACATGTCTCTTTCATCTGCGCGCACACAAAACGTGTTGTCAATACAAGAGGTCACAGCTGTGTGACAGAGATTTATAGTATATAAATATAACTTACAAGTTGCATTACCATTCAAATTTATTATATGATTGAAATGGTTGAAATACAGTTGCTATGATTGAAATACAGTTTCACAAACTCACTTTGCTATTGTACATTGAATACAATCATGCGCATATCGGAAAAGTTGATAAACTTAATTAATTAAGCAGTAATTAAACATTGTGGAAAGGTTGATCAAAGCGTTCATTTTCAGCATTCAATTTAATGAAAATTAATTAATCCGAAATCCTTCATATTATATCTTACAGTCTAACGATAGAAATAAATATTTTGCTTTAATTTAATTTATATAGCATGATGTTGTCATATATAATTTTAAAGATAAAACAATTCTCTTATTCTCATTAATTAATAATTTTTTTTCTGTTTCTATTGATAGTTTTAACCGATAAAAATATAATTGATTAAACATACCAATATTTTCAACTCCAAGAGCATTAGCTTTGCTCTCCTTATTCTTATCGTCTCTGTTGCATACATCGCCTGTATTCTTCCACCATTTATCATAGAGGATCTGTATTACACCTTTTTCTTGCAGCTCTAGGATAACTAGAGATATTTTATCCCTCCAGGGCGAACCTGCATATAAAAAGCCTTCGTTAGGCTGGCCAAGAGTTCGCAATTCTACCTCAGCAGCGTAATCCCGTACGTAACTTTGCCATTGCGTTTATACTGAACACATGTCTAATACATTGTTAAATAATATATGTGGTTTAAACACGTAGTTTAATCTAACGAAATATCTTCACATTTTTATCTTCCGCGAGAGAAATGATCCTTCCGGTATAATTATTTAGCTACTTTATGAATAAAGATAGCGCGTTTTTGGATTATATAATCTTTACTGGTTAATAAATTTCGATTTTTATTTAATAGAGATTTAATCGGCTACTTGTTCCAAAAACTTTTTAATTTTTAATATTAAATATTAAATATTATAAATTATATCTCAAATCAAACTTTTACTATTTATTTTTACTTGTTGTATCAAGCGTTTAATGTTGTTTTTATTTATATTTACCTTTTGGAGTAGCAATTCCATATCCTTTGCTATCCAGCAGGCCTCCTATTTGTGTCAGATTGCAATCACGTTGAACTGCATAATCGAGCATGGTTGATTCCATTAAAAATGCATAATCGCCATCTAGGACTTTTTTAATTCCTTCTTCATAGGTTTGAACAAACACGGATGGAGTCTTTGATTCCATAAACCTCCACATTTTCTGATAAATCCCAATTTTCGAGTCCTATGATTAAATTATTTAATACAAACTATTTGATTCTCGAGCATTTTGTATATAATTTTATATTCTACTATAGTTTTTGAAAAAGGTTTAATTGAAAATTATTTTTGAAAATATATTGAAAAAAAATGATTTTAATTTCGACATTGAAAGAATGAAAAAAAATCATTCACTCTTTAATAAATATTAAATGCTTTTGGACATGTGACTGCGCTTTAACGTTGTCAATATTAATGTTAAATTCAGAAATTTTGCTCATTATTTTGCTAATTAATTTTCTTATACATAGAAAAAAACATTGCAGAGA